AAATTGTTATCATTTTGTTGCATTGTAATGATTATAATTGTGAATTTTTATTTATAATATTTGTAATGATAATAATATTTACGTTTTAACTTGATATTTTAAACTAAGGACCTGTTTGATAACTACATTTTCTTCCACCCAAAATGTGGTGTTTGATCATCAAAATTTTCCATGGAATTCCTTTTGAAGCCTACCCCCCACGTGACCCATTTTCTACCTTTTTAAGGAAAACCAATTCCCATGGTTTTGGTGAGATTTGGGTTTTCCAACTTTTTTTTCTTTTTCATTTTAATTTTATTTTCAGCAATGGGAACAAATTCTATTCATAATTGTAAAAATAAAAAAAATAAATAAATAAATATTCCTTTAATTAACAATTTCCATGAAAAACAAAGTCAAACGAATACCAAAAAATAAAAAATTTCAATATTTTTCAAGTGAAAAATTATACCAATCAAATACATTAAATTGACAATTTTCAAGAAAACAATTTCTAGGCAATTCAATTCTTCGTTTTCTTTCCACCCAATTCTTAAAATCAAACGGACTTTAAACTTGTTTGTTTTGGTGTGATATAGGTCTATCCACGAGGTTTGATCATTTCACCGTTAGAGATTTAATTTTTGTCAGTGCTCGTTGTTCATTTCTTTTGTAATGTCCCCGCGATTGAGACTTTGCAGTCCATTTGCCGTCTAATATGGCATTCTTTTATTACTTGCTTGAAAAATTAATTGATTTTTATCACGATCTTTTCCATCTAGAACCTAGTGAAATCAACCGGGTTTTTAGCTTTGTGATATTGCATAAGAATCTTTGGGATTTGTACATCAAACGTCACACAAGATTAAGCTATACTAATCCAATCACAGTACAGATTATATTCTTCAGTTTTGTTGAAGACAATGTCTTAATAAATAAATGTGTCATTTATCTCTTTTAAACTGAGTTTAACATGATATGATGTCAAACCTGAGTTCAGATCTCTCCCCCATGCGTTTATGAAAAATTGTTACATGTTTAGGAGAAAATGAACGTGGTTTGCATACGAGATGATGTGCTCAAGATAATATTTGAATAATTAAATTTATCGTGTCCTTAACAGTTTAAGCTATAAAATTAATTAATTAGCAAGTTTCAACACTGATTTCAATCATAGTTTTTAATTCATAATATCTTGAATATGAATAGCAAGAAGGACAAAGACGCCCTTGTTTGTTTATTGCTAGTCTAAGTCTCTCTCACTATTTTTCATCAATCTTTAATTTGTGGTGTTAAGAACATCATATAGGACATGATCACCTAAAAAGTATGACTTGGCTGATTCAACTTGTGGACTTGGATAGTGTACAAGTGCAAGTAGGACCATAAATTAACTTTTTTTTTTTTTTTTACTGTCTAATATTATCAAATCCACCATCTAGAATATGCCATGATGATAAGGTTTAGCACGTAACTAGTCCTTTATGTTATATATATAGTCCTTCATGTAACTGGTCCTTTACGACTACATAGCCATGATTCAGTTTGTGAAGAAATCTTGTTGCATTCTTTTCTTTGTCCTCCTTATCTGTTGTGTTTCTATCCATTCCAAGACACTAAAACCAGACGAACCATGCAAGCGAATCGTGCTCTATTACCATGACATCCTATTCAATGGCACAGATCTTGCTAATGCAACTTCTGTAAAAATTACAAATGACACTCAATTTGGTTTCCATTTTGGCATGATGGTTGTTTTTGATGATCCCATGACGAAAGACGGTAATCTTAATTCACCTCCAGCGGCACGAGCTCAAGGCTTCTATTTCTATGACAAGAAGGACACTTTCAATGCTTGGTTTGCCTACACATTGATATTCAACTCTACTGAGTATAAAGGGACCTTAAACATCATGGGTGCTGATCCGCTGCCAGAGAAAACACGCGACCTCTCAGTTGTTGGAGGGACTGGTGATTTCTTCATGGCAAGAGGGATTGCAACATTTAGAACAGAAGATGCGCAGGGTGATTACTATTTTAGGCTCCAGATGGATATCAAGTTGTATGAATGCTATAAGACTTAGGGTACAAGTTAGGTATGGTTCTATTTTATGTGGCATTTTGGCATGTGAATCTAGTCATCTGCATTAATAATGGAATGTTTTAAATGTCTATTTTATCACATGATATAAGTATATCTATGTTTGCAGAAATGGTCGCAATCAAGGTGTTGTTTGACAAAACTTTTGATAAAAGTTTTAGTATATTTTGGTGATTGTTGTTGAAAAATTGATAAAAGTTGTGAATCCATGAAATATTGTTAAAATCAAAGTTTTATCAAACAAATGCCAAATAGAAAGAAATATATATATATATATATATATATATATATATTTTCAATCTTACTACATGTATACTTTTTTGACATTAAGGGCATGTTTGAGCTACATTAAAAATAAATAAATAAATAAAATTATTAAACAGTAATTTGACATCATTTCAACTTCACATTCTTCAATATTACACGAAAATTCAAAATTTTTATTTATTTTTTAACCACACATTTTCCATCAATCACTATTCAAAAATTCATTCTAAGGAAAATAATATGACTCAAATAAGGGCTAAGTTTGACACTGTGCCACTTGATGCAACACAAATGGCCAATTTTAAAATGAAAAACACTTTCCCATCCATTCATTTTTGAATTTATAAGTAATGTCAAACTACATGTACAACATGTAGTGTAGAAGGAGCATTATTCTTTATTTTTACCATGTTTGATCCCTATTTTCTAAAATTCGTTTTTAACCATACATTTTATGAGACACGCAATTTTTATCAAAATCTATTAAGTAAATGATTTTTAACTAAACCAGCAAGGGTCTTAAAAAACCAAATAGAGTCCCAAGCATGCACAAACAGTGTTCGCCGAAAATTGTACTCTAATCAAGAGACTAATTACTGTTATTTTATCCAAGTCTTCTACTTATTACTCATGGCCCATACTATTCGAACTTATATTTTAGTCCATCAACTATCAAGAATACTCATAGGTCCATTTAACTATTAAGCCAAGCAAAATGGCTTGCATAATGACTAGACATGACAATTCTATCCGTCAATATGCGACAAAATTTATAAAAGTTCAAGACTCTACAATCTTACCCTCAAAATAATTTCGTCCTCAAAATTTATCTGACTCTTGAATACCTGACTTTCATCTTATCTTTATTTTTCCAAATTGACTCTTTAATGAATTTGAGCATACTGACCAAAAATGACATAAAGAGAAAATAAAAATACAAAAAGACTAGTAGACGAGAGAGCAACCAATAATCAAGGATGAAAACTATAGTGAATAATACAGCAATCTTTCTACTCGGAATTGGCCAAATAGTTTCTCTTTAATGGATTTTATTTTAAAAATTTCTAATAGGAACTAATATTCTCTTAAATTAGTTATTCATCTAATTTTGTGTTAGGTATAAAGAATTAATGGAATTGTTTCCATATATCAATATGTGTGTGGTAGTAAAGAAACCAGCGGCATTTGTATGCACTTATTCCATGATTCAGTTTGAATAAGGAAACTCCATGGTTGACTTCAACAGTGACTGCACCTACCTCCGTCTTCGTCAAAGTGTTTGGCTAAGTTTAAAAGTAATGAAAGTGTAATTTTAAGTAGATTTTATTTTGACATGTATTTATAAATAACTTAATTTTTTCTTAATAATAAGTTACTTATTTTAGTGGTGATGCAACAAATAATTTTAATTTGGGCAACTTATATGCTGCGAATTTGCTTGATAAAAGCTAATTGTTAAACTTATTTACTTATGAGTGTTTTTATTTGGCATTTATAGCCAAATACAACTGGTTTGAACCTAATGATCATCTTCTCTACATGTATTATCGTCGAGAGAGATACATACAAAAGACAAATAGCAAAATAATTTCTCACAAAGCAAAACGCCATTCTTTTACAATTGTGTATGCTGAAAATATTCTAAAGAAAATCAATCACACCAAACTACAAGAGTACATACAATTATTTTACATTAAAAACTTTTCCCATGTCAGGAATAAATTATAAATATCACGAGATTCAGTCCAGTTGAAACCTCCACTATCAATTAAATAATAGGTACACTAAGTCTTCTCTAGTCATAATTAGAGGCTACAACGTGTTTTTCTTCAAGATAACAACAATCTCGACAAAATAATATGAAAATAGAAAAATATACCCAAAAAATCTGGTTATTGTTCATGCATATTAACCAATGTTCCCGAACTCAAAATCTGATCTCCACCGTTCAGATTGTAACTCTATGTCATGTGAACCTCCCCTCCAAATTTCAGCTCGATCAGATCATGAATGACTTGAGATCGGATCTTCGATGAAATCTGGGCGTAGGGAAAAAATATTTTTCTCTTTTTTCAAAAACGGGTTGGACTCTTATTTTCTCCAATCTCTTTGTATTTATATTCATCATTAGGGTTAGCATCTTAACGAACTTTGGGCTATAATATAAAACTTCAAACATGGTCTTTCCTCCTCGTAAGAGGAAATAACCAACAATTATTTGGTCGTTTACATAGTTTATGCACATGTGTGTGATTCAATATAAGGAAGAGGGTTAAAGATGAGATTAGGGTCTTAAATTATGAGACAAATACAAAATTACTTCGTCAACTTTATATAATTAAGCCCCTTCTTTTATGGCCTTTAATTCAAAATTCTTTTTTTTTTAAATATACTTATTTTCAACAACACATTCATATAATAAAATATTCTATACGTAAATCTAATTTTTTTTTCTAATTTTTAATCATATATTCTTCAAAAATTCACTATTAAAAACATTTTTTTTCCCCAAATAATGGACAGGCTATGTTTTAATCCTATCAATTCACATAAAGTTACAATCAGTCACCAACTCCAGCCACCCCATCCCCACCACACCCCAAGTTCTGACCCTATATAATGAGAGTAGAGTAAACACTTAAGCCTCGTCACTTGAAGACTGTTTTGATATAGTAGCATTTTAAATTACTACTAGTCTCCTCTCCACTTTCATTGTACCAATAATGGCTTCTAAAACACAAATAATAGCTCTTTTCCTTTGCTTCCTCTCCTCCACCTCCTCCGCCACCTACTTCAAAAAGCGCCGCCATTATCGACCTTGCAAAGAACTCGTGTTCTATTTTCACGACATACTTTACAATGGTGATAATTACAACAATGCAACTTCGGCCATAGTTGGGTCCCCGGAATGGGGCAACAAGACTGCCGTCGCACAACCAAACAATTTTGGTGACGTAGTTGTCTTTGATGATCCCATTACCTTAGACAACAATCTGTATTCGCCCCCGGTGGGTCGAGCACAAGGGATGTACCTCTACGATCAAAAGAGTATGTACAATGCATGGCTGGGGTTCTCATTTTTGTTCAATTCTACTAAGCTTGTAGGAACCTTGAACTTTATTGGGGCTGATCCATTGTTGAACAAGACCAGGGACATATCCGTCATTGGTGGAACCGGCGACTTCTTCATGGCTAGAGGGATTGCCACTTTGATGACCGATGCTTTCGAAGGGGATGTGTATTTTAGGCTTCGTGTTGATATTAAGTTGTATGAATGTTGGTAAACAATTTAGCCCCACCTAAGTATACCTATTACATATCTTCAACGAGTTTAATAATGAGCGTGAAAGTCATAATGTTCTATTGAGAGAAAAAACACTTATAATTAGCTTTTCAATAATAAAAATTAGTTTGTGGTGCTTTTGTAAATCAATAATTGTCATATGTTGAAGATGATCTCCAATGTTCAAGCATTTTCCTACTTTCGGTTCTTGAAAGTGTGATCAGATTTTTCTGAATTCTATAAGATTATCATATTATCCATGTATTAAGTGCACGTGCCACTTAAAGATTATAGTAAAGTTTAACAAATTTAATTAAAAATATGGATTTTGTGTACAACACTTATATGCCAACATTTATATATGCCACATATGAGAAGTTGAGACCCAACATATGGAATATGTATATCTAAACTGCAAAAATCCTTTATTTATAACTTATAAATAATACCATTAACCTTATAATTGATTAGAGATTCTAAATTTTATAATTATTTGCGAGTATCCTGTGCAAACTCTCGAGGAGCTATTTTTTGCATCGCGTTGAAACAAATTATAACTTAATTTATCCCTTTCAAAAAAAAAAATAATAATAATAATAAATAAATAAATTATAAAAGAAATTATCATCATTGAATTATAAATATAAATAGAATGTCATATGTATCGTGAATAAAGATTCATCTTTAAACTCTAAAACGTGGCATTTATTCGGGTACAAATGATGATAACAATAATAAAAAATAGGGTTTTTTAATAAACAACACAAATTTTCGATCGAGACAACCTCGATTAATTATATGAATTATTTATTATCTTGTCGTCAAGAAGCGTTGGCTCATACCTAGTCGACCCTACTTCTTGGGTTGGTTTTCGACTTCGATTACAATACCATCTAATGCCTGATTATTGGCAACGGCAGAATTAACCGTATCACACCTACCAGTCACCCGCCCAACTACCAACTAAGGACAGTGACTGATTAAGTACTCAACATGAAATCAAAGATTAATTATCAATCTTTTGCATAATTGGGATATTAACTAACTTTCCAAATAAAAGAGATCTACCCACGTCAATGTAATCTGCTGGAGATTTGGATGGATTGGTTTTCTTTTGGCTTACAAGTAACTAATTAAGAAAGGGAGGAGATGTTTGCAAAAGAAACCATCAATATAAATCTGAGTTTTCAGATGTCTTTTTTTTATTCTAGTAGCGTCCATCCTCTCATTTACTAAGCCAAAGGATGGTTATACAGTCTTCACTTTTTAATTGCACTAAAGGTCGTTGACTTTCGTTCAATATTGCATTTATATTCATAATCCTTTTTCCATCACATTCTTAAACTCAACTTTCCATATCTCTAATAACGTTTTTTTTTCAAAGTTTATTAAATTTATGCGCTTCATCTCAAGCCCCAAAAAGCACGGGTCCAATCTAGGTATAATTAAAGAGTGAAGGAACAAAAGAAAATTGTGATGACAATATAAGTATAACCACTCTTAAGTCAAATTATTAAAGGGTGCAAGGTATTGTAAAAATGTAATTCAGGATATAATTATTAATCGGAATATTTCTTGTTTATATTTACTATTTACCCTACTCTTATTAATACGGATTTAGCATTTGTTTGGAGAGATTTTTTCAAGTGAAAATGATTTTATTAATATTTGAGAATTTCGGTTGAAAAGTAGGTTAAGTAATGGATTCCATAAAATGTGTGATTAAAAGTAAATTTAGGGAAAATGATAATAAAACATATTCTCCAAACAAAATGTGTTAATTGCCGATGCCTAATCGCAAATTGTAAACAACAATTTCTTACCATATGATATCTAATGTGTAAAAGAAAGTTACCTTCAATGCATTTTGATACTGATAATTTCAAAATTCAAACACGCAATAACCTTAATGATTCATTTCGTGATCTCATCTATTGACAAATCTTTAGATGTATCGGACCAAAGAATCTAAGTAATATTGTCTAATCAGTCTTAAGAGGATATATTGTTGAAAAAATATCCATTTCAAGATAATAATGTGGAGGACGAATAAGTTATACGATGTCATTTAATTCTCACATTATAAAATTATTAGTCTTCAATAATTAAGCTCTTCAGAGACCAGCACGAGAAGAAAAATTTGCTTTTGAATATTCAAATAGAATGATGCAATAGAATAGGCTACCAAAAATGTCATGATCCCCACCTAATCTCCACCAACTTCTCACCAAAATTGTTAGGAGCGTCAGGGAATGTGTTGAATAATAAAAAAACGAATATTTTTGGTCCATTTTTTATATTTAAAAAGTCGTAAATTTGTGTGGACTGTATATAATAAAAGTTAAAAGCACTCGAGTTGTGTTGAATTTGGTACTCAGACTTTCAAGTTAGCAATTAACTCGTGTAAATAATGACATTTGAGTTGTATTCGAAAATAAAATGAATAAGAATTTAATTTTTTTTTCTTCCATAACACTGTATAATGTTTCCTACTCCAATTTACTAAACACGTAGTTCATGATTAATGTAATCGACAAATGTTCGGTTTGATTCATACATAATTATAATTAGAATTTTGCTTAATGTGATTTCTCTCTAAGTAATTAACATTTAAGAACTATACATATTTAATTCATAAATTACACATCAAGATCGCTAATTTCCTAAAATATCGAAATAACTTATATTGCGTCTGAAGTCACTTGTTACAACTTTAATGAATATTTTTGGGTTAATTTCACAAACGATCACTGAACTTACCTAAAAATATCGAAACGGTCACTGAACTTATGGGCGCTTTCACTAACGATCACTGAAGGACCTTTATGATTTTAATTCAAACTTAAAGGACCAAAACACTTGAAGATAAAACCTTGAGGACCAAACAGCTCTAACCAGAAATTGCGAAATTCCTCCCACTTACACCATATTTCGCCGACGTCGAAAATTGCCAAATTCAACAACCATACCGCCTGATTTACTACCAGCTTTTTACACTACCAACACCTCCTTATCCCTCTCCGCAATCCTATACCAATAAGCAACCAAAACACATTAAAAATCAAATGAACTTCAGGTTCAAAAAACCATCCCCACGCACAGTTTTACCTCCAATTCCGACCAATCCATCATCATCATCCATGCCAAAACTCCATCACAGGCTGTTAGTACTCCCCAAGATGAACAGGAACATGGTTAATGCCATCACAAAACAATTTAAATCAGAATCTAACTCATACCAGTTCTCCGGTAGTGAACAACAAACTTTTTGCCCCAATTTTCGACGCCGATGTCAACAATTACGGTCGCTCACCACCACCATTACCTTCTACTCATCATGGCAAACAAAATGCACATATGGGTCCTCACCAATTTCTCGAATAGGCCGGAATGATTTTTTGAGCCTGAATTTCATTTGATTTTTGATGTGTTTTGGTTGCTTGTTGGAATAGGATTGTGGAAGGAATGAGGAGGTGTTGGTGGTGTAAAAATTCAGTGGTTTATCTGGCGGTATGGTGGTCGAATTTGGCAATTTCTGGAGCCGGCTCCATATGGTGTAGGTGGGAAGGAAAAGGCTAGATTTCTAAATTTCAGGGATAAATTTTGAGCAAATGAAATTAGATGAAATTTACACTTGAGATCCTCAAGGATCCAATTCACGTGTTTTGGTCCTTCAGTGACCGGTAGTGAAAGCACCTGTAAGTTCAGTAACCGTTTCTACAAGTTTTAAATTTTAGTTACCGTTTTGAGATTTTTAGGTAAGTTCAGTGATCGTTTGTGAAATTAACCCGAATATTTTTTATTTGACATGAAAATGGACAAATTGAGCCAAGGGGTTCCTATCTTGCAGTAAGGTACAAACAAAATATTTTTTTCACTCTCCCCACCCCACCCCACCCCACCCCACCAAAATAATAAATAATCAAAAAATAAAATAAAAATTTTCCTATAATAAATTTTAATATATATAATAAAAAATTTGTCATTAAATTCATTCCATAGCCAAAAAACTTGAACTCAGCAACCTGACTCGAAAACTGACGACCAGATCGACTTGAAAATAGGCCTCGAGGAGCTTGGTACTAATAGGATTGCGATCATATGTGTGACCCAACAAACCAACATTCCTAAGAGTGCACAAAAGTTGTGTGAAATAAGCGCAGACACTTGAAGTGATTCAACGTCCCAAATGACATCAAAATTACTGAAGCTTCACATTCCCATCTTGATTGTTATGGACTTTGTTGGAAAATTAGTGCAAGAGAGAAGGAGAAATGAAAGAACAACAAAAGGAAGAATATAGATTAAACGACGAAGGCTTGAATACGAAATTAATTTCGCTGTCTTCAAACGTTATTTGCCTCCGTTTCAAATGCTTTTAAGAAATTTCGACAAACTGTTCGTAGGATTAAAGAAGCCTTGATGTGAAGAACACCAAGAGCAAAAATGTAACTTCACAATGAACAAGTGATAATTGGAATGATTATGTGATAATTTCCTCAATATTTGGAAGAATAATTTTGGGATAAATTTCAATGGAATTCAATATGTCTTTCTTACACTTGGATCACCTATTTATAGGCTGGTGCAAAACAAGGATGAAAAGCCACCAATTTCAAATAAAAAATGGCTCATAATAGTCACAAACATCAACCATACAACCGCATATGCTATAGCCATTCGGTTGCATGGTTATAGCATAGGCCCCCCTCAAATTCTCGAGAGGCCCTTATGCGACTGCATGGGTTTAATCCATGAGGTCGCATAATTAAGCTTTTTTTCGATTTTTTTGATTTTGAACAGCAAATAAATTTTCATGAATCCCCCACTTGTTCAAAATCTGTTTTAATCACATAATCAAATATCAACACTTATGCATAAGAATTCGATATCTTTCGATTTAAATCTATTCATAAGTATTATCAGAATTCCAGGTGGCTAGTGTGCCTTGAACCAATTATTCTTTGTGACAATACCAATAAAATCACACACACAAGTGTTAAGCTTTCACTAGTTCTTCTAACTCGCTTCATTCTAATATGGTCTTGTAGTAATCCTATTTCATTGAACTTTTAAAGAGAGAAAATTATAACTCTCTAATGAGGCGGCACCACCTCGAAGTTCACATAGGTGAAGTTCTTCCAGTATCTTTGTTACTTTTACAGATACTTGTACTCCGTACTGAACTTCATTACGAGTTTATTTTAACTCATCTCTCCAACAGTAACAACAAACACTTATTT